TGTTAATTTCTCTACCATAAGCCACCTCCAACGTTGTTTTAGAGAATCTGGCAGTACGTTCAACCGGCCTCACAACTGCAGACCACGTATAACCGCGCCAGCCAAGGACCTCCACATCCTGCTTCTTCACCTGCGGGATGGTCTGAGACCAGCCACCCGGACAGCTGATGAATTTGTGGGTTTGCACAACCAAATAATTTCTGTACAAACTTTCAGAAACCGTCTCAGGGAAGCTCATCTGCGTGCTCGTCGTCCTCACCAGGGTCTTGACCTGACTGCACTTCGGAGTCGTAACAGACTTCAGTGGGCAAATGCTCACCTTCAATGGCCACTGGCACGCTGGAGATGTGTGCCCTTCACAGATGAATCCCGGTTTCAACTGTACCAGGCAGATGGCAGACAGCGTGTATGGCGTTGTGTGGGCGAGCTGTTAGCTGATGTCAACGTTGTGAACAGAGTGCTCCATTGTGAAGGTGGGTTTATGGTATGGGCAGGCATAAGCTACGGACAACGAACACAATTGCATTTTATCAATGGCAAATTGAATGCACAGAGACACCTTGACAAGATACTGAGGCCCATTGTCGTGCCATTCATCCGTGGCCATCACCTCATGTTTCAGCATGATAATGCATAGCCCCATGTCACAAGGATCTGTACACAATTCCTGGAAGCTGAAATGTCTCAGTTCTTCCATGGCCTGCATATTCACCAGACATGTCATCCATTGAGCATGTTTGAGATGCTCTGGATCGATGTGTACGACAGCGTGTTCCAGTTCCTGCCAATATCCAGCAACTTCACACAGCCATTGAAGAGGAGTGAGACAACATTCCACAGGCCACAATCAACAGCCTGATCAACTCTATGCGAAGGAAATGTGTCGCTCTGCATGAGGCAAATGGTGGTTACATCAGATACTGACTTGTTTTCTGATCCATGCCCCTACTTTTTTTTAAAGGTATCTGTGACCAACAGATGCATATCTGTATTCCCAGTCATGGGAAATTCATAGATTAGGGCTTAATGAATTCATTTAAATTGACTGATTTCCTTATATGAACTGTAACTCAGTAAAATCTTTTAAATTGTTGCATGTTGCGTTGATATTTTTGTTAAGTGTAGTTCTCTCTTCTGTAATATAACAAACGTTGTGCTTCTCAGAGAAGATGCGGTTGTTAGGGAAAATACATCTAAATCATACACAATTTGTGTGTTTAAAATATACAATCTGTGTTTGCTACATAGTCGTTTTTATTTTATTCAATTGATGATATACAGTGAGGGAAAAAAGTATTTGATTTTGTACATTTGCCCACTGACAAAGAAATGATCAGTCTATCATTTTAATGGTAGGTTTATTTGAACTGTGAGAGACAGAATAACAACAACAAAATCCAGAAAACCGCAAGTCAAAAATGTTAGAAATTGATTTTCATTTTAATGAGGGAAATAAGTATTTGACCCCCTCTCAATCAGAAAGATTTCTGGCTCCCAGGTGTCTTTTATACAGGTAACGAGCTTAGATTAGGAGCACACTCTTAAAGGGAGTGCTCCTAATCTCAGTTTGTTACCTGTATAAAAGACACCTGTCCACAAAGCAATCAATCAATCAGATTCCAAACTCTCCACCATGGCCAAGACCAAAGGATGTCAGGGACAAGATTGTAGACCTACACTTGGCTGGAATGGGCTACAAGACCAACGCCAAGCAGCTTGGTGAGAAGGTGACAACAGTTGGTGCGATTATTCGCAAATGGAAGAAACACAACAGAACTGTCAATCTCCCTAGGCCTGGGGCTCCATGCAAGATCTCACCTCGTGGAGTTGCAATGATCATGAGAACGGTGAGGAATCAGCCCAGAACTACACGGGAGGATCTTGTCAATGATCTCAAGGCAGCTGGGACCATAGTCACCAAGAAAACAATTGGTAACACACTACACCGTGAAGGACTGAAATCCTGCAGCGCCCGCAAGGTCCCCCTGCTCAAGAAATCACATATACAGGCCCGTCTGAAGTTTGCCAATGAACATCTGAATGATTCAGAGGAGAACTGGGTGAAAGTGTTGTGGTCAGATGAGACCAAAATCGAGCTCTTTGGCATCAACTCAACTCGCCGTGTTTGGAGGAGGAGGAATGCTGCCTATGACCCCAAGAACACCATCCCCACCGTCAAACATGGAGGTTGAAACATTATGCTTTTGGGTGTTTTTCTGCTAAGGGGACAGGACAACTTCACCGCATCAAAGGGACGATGGACGGGGCCATGTACCGTCAAATCTTGGGTGAGAACCTCCTTCCCTCAGCCAGGGCATTGAAAATGGGTCGTGGATGGGTATTCCAGCATGACAATGACCCAAAACACACGGCCAAGGCAACAAAGGAGTGGCTCAAGAAGAAGCACATTAAGGTCCTGGAGTGGCCTAGCCAGTCTCCAGACCTTAATCCCCTAGAAAATCTGTGGAGGGAGCTGAAGGTTTGAGTTGCCAAACGTCAGCCTCGAAACCTTAATGACTTGGAGAAGATCTGCAAAGAGGAGTGGGACAAAATCCCTGCTGAGATGTGTGCAAACCTGGTGGCCAACTACAAGAAACGTCTGACCTCTGTGATTGCCAACAAGGCTTTTGCCACCAAGTACTGTCATGTTTTGCAGAGGGGTCAAATACTTATTATATTATACATTTTTGACATGCGTTTTTCTGGATTTTTGTTGTTGTTATTCTGTCTCTCACTGTTCAAATAAACCTACCATTAAAATTATAGACTGATCATGTCTTTGTCAGTGGGCAAACGTACAAAATCAGCAGGGGATCAAATAATTTTTTCCCTCACTGTATACTCCTTGACTCTTGAAGAATATAACTTATACATTTCGTCATTTCGTACAACATCAGAACCGTAAATATAAGCTTGTTTTAATCCATTGGTTTGTAAACAATGCAATTGTTGCATTGTACTGTATAACCTCATAACATGGTTAAAACTCTAATTTTGATTTCATGGATGATCAGTCCTTGCATCCAAACCCATCTATGAATTGGAGAGTAGTTACATTTCTCCAGCCCCATCCCTCAGCTGTTTACCAAAACAGTGGTGGGGTGCCGGCTTTGTTATTGTTAATGTTATTGTTTGACCTGCAGTATAGTTGAAATAGGCATTATTTTCAAGTCTTATATAAAAAATATATATAGATGACAAATATAATAGGGTGGGGGGAGGGAGGGGCAGCTCCCAAGTAACAGTTATCTTTATGGGTGTCCTGTACAATCAGGCATAGCAGTGAGTGCGTTACTCAGTAACATTTAACATTTACAATCATTTTGCATGTTGCCTAGCACTACATACAGTATAATATGGCACGAAGCATTCAATGTGCAACTTCAAGCTTTGGACACTTAAAAACATCTGAGGTAGCAGAGAAAATTGGTACATTGTAAATCATCCATCTTCTTCTGATAGGTCACAGTTTCATTTCCTGTTCCTCTGGATTGGTTGATCCAGTTCCAGTCACACACTGCAGGGCAGGACAGGAGTGTTCCCTGCTGAACAGCAGCAGGCTCTTTTGGCATCACAAGCTGAGCATGCTCCCTGCTGGGTCGTATTCATAAGTGCACACCATATAGGACTGGGCGATATGGCCTAAAAATCTGATCTCCATTTTTTCAATCTTATGGGCTTCACGATATTTATCTTGATTTTTAAAAGGTTTTCTTTAAATAAGCTTTGTTGCACAGTTAAAGGTCAATACACCGCATTTCAAACAGTCAGGAATAATCTAATGAATTCAGGGCTAGTAAACGTATACCTAGGCTAAATATAAGCCTTACACAACCATAAGACCCACTAATAATTACATTATTTTATCAAAATAGTTTAACCTGCTTGTTTCCAATAATCACTGATCTGGCTTTCAAGTCTGTCGATGAAAATGCCCTTTTTGTTAAAATGTTTACCAGAACCATGCCCAATGCACTAATAATGACCAATTTCTCTTAACAGGCATTATAGAAAATTAACACAGGTCTCATAAACAGTCTCTCAAGCACAAGCCCACGTGCTAGTGAGTAGCCAACTAATCTTTATATTTAAGGTCTATCCAACTTGGATCTATTTGCTTGCTAGCAAGGTAGCTAGTTGAACTGTTATGAATACACCCTCCTGTCCGTCTCCAACTGTTTGAAAAGCATGCTAGCCTGTCCACTTTGTTTAGATGTTGGAATCAAGTGGCCAATTTCTTATATAAATGCGTCTTCTTATGCTCATTGCACATTTATAAAACACAGACTAGACAGCTAGCATATAACAATCTGTGGCTAAAATGCTGCTAGCGGTATGTGGTACTGCAATGCCGCATGTGACAGAAACTGTGCATACATTTTCCACAATCATGTTAATTGATACTCCAGTTTTAGTAGGGTCTGGGAGTTGAGACATAAAAAAGGTATCGTTACAAAGGTTAAGTTCTCCTCTATTACAGTAAAATAATGTCTCAATGTGTTTCGGTGTCCATATGACCGATTATGTCGGACCAAACCTCAAATGCAAATAGCAAAATGCAAATAGCAAATAGAAGTGATCTTTCATCTTTGATGTGAGTGGCATCCGGAGTGGCTTAGTGTGTGTGTGCAAGTGGGAAGGTGCAAACATCACAGAAGGAGCGAAGGAGACGACCAAAAAGACGTCATGAGAACAAGCGGACATAAACGCTCATAAAACAAAACAAAAATACATCTTCATTCTTGCGATACAGGCATTTGGAACATCGCGCAAAAACCTAAATTTGAATTAATTGGTTTGCACCATTGCAAACCACAACAAAACATTTTGTAATGAGAATTTCTTATTGGACAAGTTCAGGTAGTCCCTCCCCATTTTCTTTTGTTTTGTTTCTAATTAATACGACCCAGCTAAGTGTTTCAGTGTGGTCTTGAGGATGCTTTGCTCCTGACCAATAACAGTACATTCAGGTGCGCCAGCCAGTGGGCTAGCTAATCTAGCTAATCTTTGATGTCCTTGAGTACAGTCACCTGAGAGACGGTTTTCTTGACCCTCAGCGCGGTGAGGCGAGCTGCAGCGTTGGTGTACCAGCACTCGCGCATCAGCTTGCCTATCACCCGCAGTGCCTGATAAATCAAGAAGGATAATTTTCAAATCAACAGGTCCACATTTTACATGTACATTTTGGCTATTTAGCAGACACTCTTGTCCAGAGCAGAGCAACTTAGAATTACAGTCAGTGCATTCAAATAAGCAAGGTTAGACAACCCCATATCCCAGTCATTACAAGAAAAACCTTCCTCAAAAACAGCAGTTCAATTTACAGAGGTACAATTCTAAATGCTAACCAAGCTAACATACAGTTAGTATACTGTATTCCCCATCTGACTTCAGTCGGCCCTATGGCTCTGTAGTGGAAGCTAAAAAAAAATCAGTCTAGGGTTGTACAATTTTCCCCAAAATTCCCAGGCTTCCCCTTTCAGAGGATTCCCGGATTTCCTGATTATTCCCTACCGATTCCAGGAATCTTCCATCCGGGGGTTTCTGGAAAACCTTGGAAAGTTAATGGAATTTTGCAACCCTATCACAGTCAAAAAAATGTATCTCACCTCACAGCTCTGCCACTGGTTGGGAATGTTGGGTCTCAGTTTCTGGTCACAGACTATCTTTCTCATGTCCTCCACAGAAGGATCTGAAGGCACCATATCATAGTAAGGCAACTGAAAATCTTCTTGAAGTCCTGTGGAAAAAAGACAAGCACATTTCTTGATCAGTTCCCTGGCACAAATGTACCATCCTTCATCAGTTCCATGGCAATATGAGAAATTGTGTTCACGTAATATCGGTGGTAATATTATCATCCTTTAATATTCATTAGATGATGAATCACTGATTAAAGTATATGCGTCGCCTACCCAATAAACCAATAACTGCATCAATCACTACTCCAGTGTCATTTCTCTGAGTGCATTAGCTGCACAGACTAGACTTCCCGACTTCCATTTCATTTGCTTCAGGTTGCTTTTGTACTAAGAGTTAAATAACTTGATGGTGTCCCAAATGGCACCCTATAGTGCACTACTTTTGACCAGAGCCCTATGGGTCCTGGTCAAAAGTAGTGCACCATACAGGGAATACAATATTAGCTTCAGCTTTAAATAGTGTCATTTCTAGTAGACTTCCATTTTATTTGCTTCAGGTTGCTTTTGTACTAAGAGTTTTAAAAAACTTACCCCTGATGGAGCACCTCCGCGCCAGTTCCCAGAACACAAGGCCCAGGGAGTAGATATCTGCCCGCTTGAATGACTCAAAGCTGCCAATATTGATCGTGTCATCCAGCAGTTCTGGGGCCATGTACCTGCCGAGGGAGGATGAACTTGTTAACTACTAACCAACAGGGTATTAGGGTGAATGAGTCAACACTGACACATCTGAAGATACCCAATGTGTGACTTTATCCTCGTGTTTCTTTTGCTAGGTTGTTTTTCAAAGTTAGTTTGAGTTTACTGCAAATGTCTGCTGCTAGGAAGACATCGCAGTCAGAGATTTTTTTTTTTTCATCACAGACAAGCGAGTGCCCAAGCTACCGTGGTAATGGCCCGTCACTTAAAGGGCCAGCTGAAAATGTTTATCTCACCTAATGATTGTGCTTGATTCAGCATGGATTACTCCCAAAAACGTTTATTCATGAACTTTTAGTCATTGTTCTCCTAGATTTATTTGTGTGCTTCTACATTTATACTGAAAAACATAATGTACTCCTTATAAAAAATGTCACTCAGAATTTTGTGGCAGGGCAGGCACTTTGTTGATTCTTGATGTTCAGTTGTAGAACTGTTTATCTGTTTTTAATTTGGATCAAAATGATTTATTTTAACATGCAGTGCTTAAAAGACGCAGGTCACAAAAATGAAATGAAATTAAGCAATATAACCCATGACTTCTTACTAGTAATACATTTTTTGGGTGATTTTTGGTGTAATTATGGAGAAAAATATATTTTGGCAGGTAAAAAATCTCCACCAGTGGCTGGTAGACCAAAAAGTTAATTTCTCACCCTGCAGGCAGCAGGCACACAGAGATACACAGACAAATACATTATATTATTATATAGACAGAAGACAGGGCTCCATGTGAGCAGCGGTCCCATCACTATATTAACAGTTAACAAACAACATATGGTGACCTAAAAATAGGAGCTCTGAATGATGAAGGTAGCACGTGGAAGAGGATACCTCTCGGCTAGCCATCAATTTCATAAACAAATGAGGGCAAGGGAGATGAGGTAAAGACTGGCACCATATTCCCTAGTGCCCTATTTTTGACCAGAGCTGTGGCATTCTGGACATACTCAAAGTCAATGTGAGACCTTCCTGATCGTCGGCCAATATTGCTCCCTCCATCTCTCTAAAAGGATATTAAAAGATAAAATACTAATAATTGAAAAAGAAGTCGATCAAAGTGGCTAGTAGACATGCCCATGTTCTTCTCTCTCAGGTAAAAGCTGCCTAGTTACCTCTTTGTTCCTACTCTGTGATTGGACGGTATGTCGATGGTGTTGGCGCTGGAATCGTGTTTCACAGCCAATCCGAGGTCTGCTATGACGGCTGTCCCATTCTTCTTCACCAGAATGTTTTTAGACTTGATATCTCTGTGGGCAATGGCAGGTTTCCCTGTAAGACGCATCACAATTCATAGTTACATGTAATTTCAATAACTTGCTAATGTTATACATGGGTTTATTGTCACTGTTGTATGGCCCTTGCCAAATACATGTCTGGTGCTAAGAATGGATGCACTCATTACAACATAGTTCTGGTTATATTTCATGTCTATTCAATAACTTGCTAACATTAAACATGGGTAGATGTTTGTTGTCACTGTTATATAGCCCTTGCAAAATAGTTGCTAACAATAGATTAACAGTAGTACTGTGTAAACATTAAATAATTCAGAAGCAAAAAGTTGTATAGAAAAATAGAAATAAGGCTATTGTTGTGAATACGACAAGGTCACTTCAGCAAGTAACTAGCAACACAAAGAAGTGTGCTTTGGAAAGTAGCTTTTCTAAGATTAGAAAGAGGATTTTTCTATGGTTATTCTGTTATAAAAGGAGGCCCTCACCTAGTCAATGTAATTAAAGTTCTGACCTTTGGTGAATCATTTTTACCACTAGAAGAATACATGTAAATCCTGTGGGATGTTGAATAGAATATCTAAAGTGGGAATGGCATCAGTGCAAAACTAGACGGACAGATACACAGCTTTTCTATTGTTATTGAAGCCCATACCACACTACAAATAATAGCCATGTAGTGTATGGTAGATCTGTGGACCTGTAGCGTTAGGATACAGAGACTCTAAATATGCTACATCATATCAATCACACTGAATCTAAAAATGATATTTAGTGATCTTAAATTCCCATTACAGGGAGGTAAGATCTAGGCTGAAAGGATTGCGGTGCCAATCCCTTACCCTGAGTGCCAATGATCTCCATGTGGAGGTGTGCCAGGCCGCTGGCGATGGACAAGGCCAGGATGATCATGCTGTCCACAGACACTGTGTACCTGTTCAGGTACTCAAACAGGGAGCCGTGCTCGTGGTACTCTGACACCAGCCACAGCTGGGTCCAAGAGCCGTTATCTGCAAAAGGCAGCAGAAGGCATGGTCATACACCTGGGGTTAGTGTATGTGTACAGTCATACTGAGAACGCTTCTTGTCACACATCAAAACAATATACATGACATGAAATGTAGTTAGGGCCAGGAGCTTTTCCTGCTTAAGTCACTATATAGTCAAAGGAACATATCAAGGGCAGTTATGTCAAGGATACGTCCCAAATGGCACCCTATTCCCTATATAGTAAATAGGGCTCTGGTGAAAAGTAGTGCACTATATAGGAAATAGGGTGCCTTTTGGACCAAATATGTCAATAAGTACCTTTGTTATCAGCTGCAATGAATCCCAGGATATTCTCGTGTCTGAGCATGATGGTCTGATAGATCTCTGCCTCTCTGAACCAGGACCTCTCGTCACGGGATGAGAAGATCTTCACCGCCACATCCTCCCCTCGCCACTTCCCTCGCCACACCTCCCCGAAGCGGCCCTTCCCAATGGTCTCCTGCAGCACGATGGTCCGAGCTATTGTCCGTTGTACCAGCAGTGGTAGCCCTGTAAAACAAAACCAGATTAATCAGGATTTCATGTTACAAATGCTCTGTCAGGAACATCAACTAATTGGAAACTCTCTGAACTCAATGTGTTGTTACTCTCACTTGCTGCCCAATGTCGCCATATCAAGCGAATACAATTTTCAATATTAAAACATCAAATTGATTTAAAATGCTAAATTCGTTATGAGGTCCATCTATCAGAGCACCATTATCTTCTCTCCTCTGATGCATGCCTAAATGGAATCACCATTACAGACCCATTGACTTGAAGGGGGATGCCCATTCTAGTGATTTCTATTGAACCATACATGTATAGACTCTCTCTTACCAGACCCTGAGCTGGAGGTGCTCATACCGTAGATGAGGTCTTTAAGACAGTTATCGGGGGACATGAGACTCTGGTCGTCCAGGGGCTCCTCCACGTCATTCTTGTGGGCCCTGTTGTAGGCACAGCGCTGGCCCTGCATCACACACACACCCAGCAGGATGCTCACACAGAGCAGGGCAGAGGGCACCAGGATGACTGCTGCCAGCTCTAGCCTGCCCCAGCCGGGCTCCCCCGAAGGCCTCTCTACATAGCCTACATAACACACAGACACAGCAGCATACTGTAAGTACACTACACACTATGTAAGAAACAAAGAGGGCCTTATACAATAACAAGACTTGATCAGTAGATAAATGTGCAATGGCCCACACATTTGTGATTTAAGATTTAAAAAGGTGGATGGGGATTTTTACAATAGGGATCAAAAAAGACTTCCTGAACTCAAATGATACATAGGCTAATACTTCTCATTATTCCTATGCCCTCTAGTGGTGATTTCTAACCACTTTATTAATTAACCCATTACTCCCAACAATATAGTCGTTACATGCTGTAGCAGCTTGTGGTCAAAATGTGAAAAAAGTCACATGTGCCAAATACAACAGGTGTAGACTTTACCCTGAACTGCTTACTTACGAGCCCTTTTTCAACAGTGCAGAGTTCAAAAGTAAGACAATTAGCAAATAGAAAATAGTAACACAATAGATAAGGAGGCTATATACCGAGTCAATGTGCAGGGATACAAGGTAGTTGAGATAATATCTACATGTAAGTACGGGGTAAAAGTAATCAGCATAGATAATAAACAGAGTAGCAGCAGTGTGTGTGTGTGAGCGTATGTAGTGTGTGTGTGTGTGTGTTTGTTTGTGTGTTGGAGTGTCAGTGTAAGTATGTGTTAGTGTGTGGGTAGAGTCCAATGAGTGTGCATAGTCAGTGCAAAAATGGGTCAACGCAAATGACCTGAATGCCAAAATAGAGGTGCTCAAAGTTGACAATTTTGCATAACCCACCCTAGCATGAGACATCCATGTCTTCATCACTGAAAAACGGTTGAGTTTTATATAATTTGAAAGCTTACAAACAGGGTTAAACAATTGTATAATTTATAGAAAAAATATTTTTAAACAACAAATATTTAACTTTTTTTACCATTAACCTCAGTTATCAAAAAATTTGTGAACACGTATGTTGTAGCTAAGAACCTATTTTATTTCATCTGAGGTGTTCGTGTTGTGCCCATCATCGGTAGAATGAACCTATCCCAAGTTGAGACCACTGCAATTTAGCTGGTACACCATTGAAATATAAATTAAATGTAAATGTTAACTTCTAAATATAGCAGCGAGCAAGAAAGAACGGGATTCACAGGATGACAAAAAGGACAAGATCATTACCATGTTTATCTCTCAATACCACAAGGATGACGCAAGTGAAGTTTAGTCTAGTTAAGTTTAGTCTAGCAAGTAATCATTGTTCAAGTCATTACTTAATATATTGAGTTTATATACCAATTATGTGATCAATTTGACTAATGGGTTATGTTCAGATTTGGGAAATATCTTCAGCGTTATTTTCAAAATGTTTCACATTGTTCGTCTGCATAATTTAAATCTAACATTAATTTGCAAGAGACAAATCCAATTGATCAATAGTTTTGCCACTGGTGTCAATGGCATCTATAGTGGCACCAACTGGTCTGGTGTAGCCACCTAAGGTTGCAGTGACTTTATCTTCAAACAACTTCAAAGGACATATGTATACATAAGGTTTACATACCAAATTTAATGGACCCATGTCCATCGGTTCAGTTCTTACAGCCCTGGTGAGATATGGTGCCATCAAGTGGTGTAGCATGGCCGACTTTGAATGCAGCAACTAATCATTCTCAAATTCAGAGGCTAATTACACTGAACAAAAATATATATACAACATGTAAAGTGTCCCATGTTTCATGAGCTGAAATGAAAAATCCAAGACATTTTCACAAAAATATTATTTATCTCAAATTTTGTGCACACATTTGTTTACATCTCTGTTACTGAGCGTTTCTCCTTTGCCAAAATAATCCATCCACCTGACAGGTGTGGCATATCAAGAAGCTGATTAAACGGCATGATCATTACACAGGTGCACCTTGTGCTGGGGACAATAAAAGGACACTTTAAAATGTGCAGTTTTGTCACACAACACAATGCCACACATTCTCAAGCACTGAGGGAGCGTGCAATTGGCATGCTGACTGCAGGAATGTCCACCAGAGCTGTTGCCAGATAATTAAATGTTCATTTCTCTACCATAAGCTGCCTCCAACGCCGTGTCAGAGAATTTGGCAGTACGTCCAACCGGCCTCACCACCGCAGACCACGTGTAACCACACCAGCCCAGGACCTCCACATCTGGCTTCTTCACCTGCGGGAAGAGGCCCACCATTGGCTGCACCCCAGTCCAGTCATGTGAAATCCATAGATTAGGGCCTAATTTATTTATTTAAATTGACTAATTTCCTTATATGATCTGTAACTCTGTAACATTTTTGAAATTGTTGCATGTTGCGTTTATATTTTTGTTCAGTATAATTGAGTCTATACCAAATCTGGAGTCAATCTGATATATGGTTCATAAGATAGAAGATATTTAAAGTATTTATTTTTTCATTAGCATACAGTGCTATGAAAAAGTATTTTCCCCCTTTCTAATTTTCTCTACTGTTGCATATTTGTGATACTGAATGTTATCAGATCTTCAACCAAAACCTAGTATTAGATAAAGGGAACATAAGTGAACAAATAACACAACAAAGACATATTTATTTCATAAACAAAGTTATGCAACACCCAATTCCCCTGTGTGAAAAAGTAATTGCCCCCTTACACTCAGTAACTGGTTGTGCCACCTTTAGCTGCAATGACTCCAACCAAATGCTTCCTGTAGTTGTTGATCAGTCTCTCACGTCGATGTGGAGGAATTTTGGCCCACTCTTCCATGCAGAACTGCTTTAACTCAGTGACGTGTGGGTTTTCAAGCATGAACTGCTCGTTTCAAGTCCTGCCACAACATCTCAATTGGGATTAGGTCTGGACTTTGACTAGGCCATTCCAAAACGTACAATTTGTTGCTTTTTAGCAATTTTCATGTAGATTTGATTGTGTGTTTTGGATCATTGTCTTGCTGCATGACCCAGCTGCGCTTCAGCTTCAGCTCAAAGATGGATGGTCTGACATTCTCCCTCTTTGGCCCATTCCTCCATGCAGATCTCCTCTAGAGCAGTGATGTTTTGGGGCTGTCGCTGGGCAACACGGACTTTCAACTCCCTCCAAAGATTTTCTATGGGGTTGAGATCTGGAGACTGGCTAGGCCACTCCAGGGCCTTGAAATGCTTCTTACGAAGCCACTCCTTCGTTGCCCGGGCGGTGTGTTTGGGATCATTGTCATGCTGAAAGACCCAGCCACGTTTCATCTTCAATGCCCTTGCTGATGGAAGGAGGTTTTCACTCAAAATCTCACGATACATGGCCCCATTCATTCTTTCCTTTACACGGATCAGTCGTCCTGGTCCCTTTGCAGAAAAACAGCCCCAAAGCATGATGTTTCCACCCCCATGCTTCACAGTAGGTATGGTGTTCTTTGGATGCAACTCAGCATTCTTTGTCCTCCAAACATTATTATCAGTGGTCTTGTATGTCTTCCATTTCCTAATAATTGCTCCCACAGTTGATTTCTTCAAACCAAGCTGCTTACCTATTGCAGATTCAGTCTTCCCAGCCTGGTGCAGGTCTACAATTTTGTTTCTGGTGTCCTTTGACAGCTCTTTGGTCTTGGCCATAGTGGAGTTTGGAGTGTGACTGTTTGAGGTTGTGGACAGGTGTCTTTTATACTGATAACAAGTTCAAACAGGTGCCATTAATACAGGTAACGAGTGGAGGACAGAGGAGCCTCTTAAAGAAGAAGTTACAGGTCTGTGAGAGCCAGAAATCTTGCTTGTTTGTAGGTGACCAAATACTTATTTTCCACCATAATTTGCAAATAAATTCATTAAAAATCCTACAATGTGATTTTCTGGATTTTTTTTTCTCAATTTGTCTGTCATAGTTGACGTGTACCTATGATGAAAATTACAGGCCTCTCTCATCTTTTTAAGTGGGAGAACTTGCACAATTGGTGGCTGACTAAATACATTTTTTCCCCACTGTACACTACCGGTCAAAAGTTTTAGAACACCTACTCATTCAAGGGTTTTTCTCTATTTTGACTATTTTCTACATTGAAGAATAATAGCGAAGACATCAAAACTATGAAATAACACATATGGAATCATGTAGTAACAAAAAAAAGGGTTAAATATATCAAAATATATTTTATATTTGAGATTCTTCAAAGTTGCCACCCTTTGCCTTGATGACAGCTTTGCACACTCTTGGCATTCTCTCAACCAGCTTCATGAGGAATGCTTTTCCAGGAGTTTTGAAGGAGTTCCCACATATGCTGAGCACTTGATGGCTGCTTTTCCTTCACTCTGCAGTCCAATGAGTAGGTGTGTCCAAACCTTTGACTGGTACTGTACATATTACCTCAATTAACTTGACTAACCTGTACCCCCTAACATTGACTCGGTACTGGTAGCCCCTGTATATAGCCTCGTTATTGTTATTTTATTGTTACAGTTTTTTTTTTTTTTTACTTTAGTTTATTTAGTAATTAAATTCTCAACTCTTATTTTTCTTAAAACTGCATTGTTGTTTAAGGGCTTGTAAGTAAGCATTTCACGGTAAGGTCTACACCTGTTGTATGTGACAAATATAATTTGATTTGATTTTGATTTGATTTGAGATGTATTACTCCATTACGCTTATGTCCATTGATTATTGATTGCCATTGCCATTAATATTTATCTATTTATCCTGCTACTGGTCACTATTACTCCTGTTTACATGTACAGTGCCTTCGGAAAGTATTCAGACCCCTTTACTTTTTACACATTTTGTTACGTTACAGCCTTATTCTAAAATTGATTAAATAAAAAATTATCCTCAGCAATCTACACACAATACCCCATAATGACAAAGCGAAAACAGGTTTTTAGAAATTTTAGCAAATGTATTTAACATAAAAAAACATAAATACCTTATTTACATAAGTATTCAGACCCTTTGCTATGAGACTAGAAATTGAACTCAGGTGCATCCTGTTTCCATTGATCATCCTTGAGATGTTTCTACAACTTGATTGGAGTCCACCTGTGGTAAATTAAATTGATTGGACATGATTTGGAAAGGCACACACCTGTCTATATAAGGTTCCACAGTTGACAGTGCATGTCAGAGCAAAAACCAAGCAATGAGGTCGATGGAATTGTCCTTAGAGCTCCGAGACAGGATTGTGTCGAGGCACAGATCTCTAGCTTGAGAGGATCTGCAGAGAAGAATGGGAGAAACTCCCCAAATACAGGTGTGCCAAGCTTGTAGCGTCGTACCCAAGAAGACTTGATGCTGTAATCGCTGCCAAAGGTGCTTCAACAAAGTACTGAGTAAAGGATCTGAATCTAAAAACCTATTTTTGCTTTCTCATTATGGGGAGATTGATGAGGGAAAAACACAATTTAATCAATTTTAGAATAAGGCTGTAACGTAACAAAATGTGGAAAAAGTAAAGGGGTCTGAATACTTTCCGAAGGCACTGTATATATTGCCATTAGTATATAATCATAAGTACAGTGCCTTCAGAAAGTATTCACACCCATTGACATTTTCCACATTTTGTTGTTACAGCCTGAATTTAAAATGGATTACATTTAGATGTTTTGTCACTGGTCTAAACACAATACCCCATAATGTCAAAGTGGAATTATGTTTTTTGATATTTTTACAAATTAATTAAAAATGAAAAGCTGAAATGTCTTGAGTGAATAAGTATTCAACCCTTTTGTTATGGCAAGCCTAAATAAGTTCAGGAGTAAACAGGTGCTTAACAAGTCACATAATAAGTTCCATGAACTCACTCTGTGTGCAATAATGTTGTTTAACATGATATTTGTATGACTACCTCATCTCTGTACACCACACATACAATTATCTGTAAGGTCCCTCAGTTGAGCAGTGAATTTCAAACACAAATTCAACCACAAAGACCAGGGAGGTTTCTACCTATTGGGAGATTAATTCACCTTTGAGCATGGTGAAGTTATTAATTACACTTTGGATGGTGTATCAATACACCCAGTAACTACAAAGATACAGGCGTCCTTCCTAACTCAGTTGCCGGAGAGGCCAATGGTGACTTTAAAACAGTTACAGAGTTTAATGGCTGTGGTAGGAGAAAACTTTGCATGAATCAATAACATTGTAGTTACTCCACAATACTAACCTAATTGACAGAGTGATAAAAAGGAAGCCTGTACAGAATACAAATATTCCAAAACATGCATCCTGTTTGCAACAAGGCACTAAAGTAATACTGCAAAAAATGTGGAAAACCAATTAACTTTTTGTCCTGAATACAAAGTGTTATGTTTGGGGAAAATCCAATACAACACATTACTGAGTACTACTCTCCATATTTTCAAGCATAGTGGTGGCTACATTCTGTTATGGGTATTTTTTCTTCTTTTTTTTCTTCACCTTTATTTAACCAGGTAAGCCAGTTGAGAACAGGTTCTCATTTACAACTGCGACCTGGCCAAGATAAAGCAAAGCAGTGCGATAAAAACAACACAGAGTTACATATGGGATAAACAAAACGTACAGTCAAAAACACAATAGAAAATCTATATACAGTGTGTGCAAATGTAGTACGTTATGGAGGTAAGGCAAGAAATAGGCCATAGTGCAAAATAATTACAATTTAGTATTAACACTGGAGTGATAGATGTGCAGAAGATGATGTGCAATTAGAGATACTGGGGTGCAAATGAGCAAAATAAATAACAATACGGGGATGAGGTAGTTGGGTGGGCTAATTACAGATGGGCTGTGTACAGGTGCAGTGATCGGTAAGCTGCTCTGACAACATTTACATTACATTTACATTTACGACAACTGATGCTTAAAGTTAGTGAGGGAGATAAGAGTCTCCAGCTTCAGAGATTTTTGCAGTTCGTTCCAGTCATTGGCAGCAGAGAACTGGAAGGAATGGCGGCCAAAGGAGGTGTTGGCTTTGGGGATGACCAGTGAGATATACCTGCTGGAGCGCATACTACGGGTGGGTGTTGCTATGGTGACCAATGAGCTAAGATAAGGCGGGGATTTGCCTAGCAGTGATTTATAGATGACCTGGAGCCAGTGGGTTTGGCGACGAATATGTAGTGAGGGTCAACCAACGAGAGCGTACAGGTCACAATGGTGGGTAGTATATGGGACTTTGGTGACAAAACGGATGGCACTGTGATAGACTACATCCAATTTGCTGAGTAGAGTGTTGAAGGCTATTTTGTAAATGACATCGCCGAAGTCAAGGATCGGTAGGATAGTCAGTTTTACGAGGGCATGTTTGGCAGCATGAGTGAAGGAGGCTTTGTTGCGAAATAGGAAGCCGATTCTAGATTTAACTTTGGATTGGAGATGCTTAATGTGAGTCTGGAAGGAGAGTTTACGGTCTAACCGCGGCAGCTTTCCAATCTCTGGGGATCTCAGACGATACGAAAGAGAGGTTGAACAGGCTAGTAATAGGGGTTGCGACAATTTCGGCGGCTAATTTTAGAAAGAAAGGGTCCAGATTGCCTAGCCCAGCTGATTTGTAGGGGTCCAGATTTTGCAGCTCTTTCAGAACATCAGCTGTCTGAATTTGGGTGAAGGAGAAGCGGGGGGGGGGGGGGGAGCATGGGCAAGTTGCAGCGGAGGGTGCAGAGCTGGTGGCCGGGGTAGGGGTAGCCAGGTGGAAAGCATGGCCAGCCGTAGCAAAATGCTTGTTGAAATTCTCGATTATCGTAGATTTATCGGTGGTGACAGTGTTTCCTAGCCTCAGTGCAGAGGGCAGCTGGGAGGAGGTGCTCTTATTCTCCATGGACTTTACAGTGTCCCAACACTTTTTGGAGTTAGTAACACAGGATGCAAATTTCTGTTTGAAAAATCTAGCCTTTGCTTTCCTAACTGATTGTGTATATTGGTTCCTGACTTCCCTGAAAAGTAGCATATCGCGGGGGCTGTTCGATGCTAATGCAGTACGCCACAGGATGTTTTTGTGCTGGTCAAGGGCAGTCAAGTCTGGGGTGAACCAGGGGCTATATCTGTTCTTAGTTCTGCATTTTTTGAATGGGACATGCTTATTTAAGATGGAGAGGAAAGCACTTTTAAAGAACAACCAGGCATCCTCTACTGACGGAATGAGGTCAATATCCATCCAGGATACCCGGGCCAGGTCAATTAGAAAGGCCTGCTCGCTGAAGTGTAATCGTTAAGGACTGGAGAGTTTTTCAGGATAACAAATAAATTATATGGAGCTAAGCACAGGCAACATGCTAGAAGAAAACCTGGTTTAGTCTGCTTTCCACCAGACACTGGGAGATTAATTCACCTTTCAGCAAGACAATGACCTAAAACACAAGGCCAAATCTACACTGGAGTTGCTAACCAAGAAGACAGTGAATGTTCCTGAGTGGCCGAGTTACAGTTTTGACTTAAATCTGCTTGAAAATCTATGGCAAAGCCTGAAAATGGTTGTCTAGCAGTGATCAACAACCAATTTGACAGAGCTTGATGAATTTTGAAAAGAATAATGGGCAAATGTTGCACAATCCAGGTGTGGAAAGCTCTTACAGACTTTACCAAGAAAGACTCAAAGTTGTAATCGCTGCCAAAAGTGATTCTAACATGTACTGACTCAGGGGGATGAATACTTATATATACAGTGGGGAAAAAAGTATTTAGTCAGCCACCAATTGTGCAAGTTCTCCCACTTAAAAAGATGAGAGAGGCCTGTAATTTTCATCATAGGTACACGTCAACTATGGCAGACAAATTGAGATTTTTTTTTCCAGAAAATCACATTGTAGGATTTTTAATGAATTTATTTGCAAATTATGGTGGAAAATAAGTATTTGGTCACCTACAAACAAGCAAGATTTCTGGCTCTCACAGACCTGTAACTTCTTCTTTAAGAGGCTCCTCTGTCCTCCACTCGTTACCTGTATTAATGGCACCTGTTTGAACTTGTTATCAGTATAAAAGACACCTGTCCACAACCTCAAACAGTCACACTCCAAACTCCACTATGGCCAAGACCAAAGAGCTGTCAAAGGACACCAGAAACAAAATTGTAGACCTGCACCAGGCTGGGAAGACTGAATCTGCAATAGGTAAGCAGCTTGGTTTGAAGAAATCAACTGTGGGAGCAATTATTAGGAAATGGAAGACATACAAGACCACTGATAATCTCCCTCGATCTGGGGCTCCACGCAAGATCTCACCCGTGGGGTCAAAATGATCAAGAGAACGGTGAGCAAAAATCCCAAAGGGGGGACCTAGTGAATGACCTGCAGAGAGCTGGGACCAAAGTAACAAAGCCTACCATCAGTAACACACTACGCCGCCAGGGACTCAAATCCTGCAGTGCCAGATGTGTCCCCCTGCTTAAGCCAGTACATGTCCAGGCCCGTCTGAAGTTTGCTAGAGTGCATTTGGATGATCCAGAAGAGGATTGGGAGAATGTCATATGGTCAGATGAAACCAAAATATAACTTTTTGGTTAAAACTCAACTCGTCGTGTTTGGAGGACAAAGAATGCTGAGTTGCATCCAAAGAACACCATACCTACTGTGAAGCATGGGGGTGGAAACATCATGCTTTGGGGCTGTTTTTCTGCAAAGGGACCAGGATGACTGATCCGTGTAAAGGAAAGAATGAATGGGGCCATGTATCGTGAGATTTTGAGTGAAAACCTCCTTCCATCAGCAAGGGCATTGAAGATGAAACGTGGCTGGGTCTTTCAGCATGACAATGATCCCAAACACACCGCCCGGGCAACGAAGGAGTGGCTTCGTAAGAAGCATTTCAAGGTCCTGGAGTGGCCTAGCCAGTCTCCAGATCTCAACCCCATAGGAAATCTTTGGAGGGAGTTGAAAGTCTGTGTTGCCCAGCGACAGCCCCAAAACATCACTGCTCTAGAGGAGATCTGCATGGAGGAATGGGCCAAAATACCAGCAACAGTGTGTGAAAACCTTGTGAAGACTTACAGAAAACGTTTGACCTTTGTCATTGCCAACAAAGGGTATATAACAAAGTATTGAGAAACTTTTGTTATTGACCAAATACTTATTTTCCACCATAATTTGCAAATAAATTCATTAAATATCCTACAATGTGATTTTCTGGAATTTTTTTTCTCATTTTGTCTGTCATAGTTGACATGTACCTATGATGAAAATTACAGGCCTCTCTCATCTTTTTAAGTGGGAGAACATGCACAATTGGTGGCTGACTAAATACTTTTTTCCCCCACTGTATAGATACTGTATATATATATTTTTAAATCACGTTAGAATTTTTCATCCACTTTGACATTAGAGTATTTTGTGTAGATCGTTGACAAAAAATTACAATTAAATCCATTTTAAACCCACTTTGTAACACAACAGAATGTGGAAAAAGTCAAGGGGTATGAATACTTTCTGAAGGCCCTGTGTTTACAGTATATAGTCCTGCGACCACTCACTTTTCAGCCCTGTTTACATGTACAGTAGGGGTGTGCCGAGTATTCGGACAAAACTAGTATAGTAACGGATAAGGAGAATTTTCAGAATACGATTATGACAAGTATTTTCTGTAATTATCCGTGATCGGGAAAATGTAATTTTCAGCTGACAGCACGCATCTCTCTTTCACTCAAACATTGTGAAGCGCTGTGTGCTATAAACAACTATTTTCTAGTTCTTCTGTCTGTAAAGACATGGGCAGGGTATCGGTTGAGCCTGCTGCAACAATTGGATTATAACAAGCCGCTCTCCCTCTGCTCTCATTTCCCCAGATAATACCTGGCAGCTCTGCTTCACTCATTCACAGTCTCCCCTTCTCCAAACATTATGTATGAATCAGAATCCGTAGCTAGTCATTGTTGTTCATTGTAGTTGTTTCCTGTCGACTTTGCTGAGGCCATATGGTTGTTTTTGTATGCCTACTTGCCGTTGTTTAGTAGTCCTACTTTGTCTGTCCGTATAATTATTCCATTGCTGACGACGTCTGTCGTTAATGTCGTAATCCAAGCCCATGCTTGCTTGCTATTATAATTTATTGCCACCCTGGCATGTTCACCCGAGCGACAGATCGTTAGAAAATAAAATGACAAATGTAGATCGTTTATTTTTATTGTACAAATGTTGTGGCATAAGTGAGGGGAGAGAAACGTTTGGGGCAAACGAATTAGCCTACCATCATCTAAATCTGTGTCTGGAATAAATGCAGGCTGTAGTTGCCAGCCATGCATTAGGCAATTTATTAGCCTATTTCATTGATAATTGAATAGGACAAAGGAAGTCAATAATGTGCATTTTCATTTGGCAGGGTTGTTTAACAAAGTGTTATGTGAGCTATTAGATCACTCCAATAATGTATCCTTTTGAGTGGCAGGATAAATTCTGAGTAAGAATTTCAGATAAGTCCCGTGTACTGGGTAGGGCTGCGGCTGAATCACTTAAATAGCTGCCCCCCACTACTTCCACCTCGTGTCCTTTTCGAGGCACCGTTGATCATCGACAATGTGGATTGGAGTGATCCAATAGCTCACATAACCGTGGTTACATACATAACCTTCAATCACTCCAATATGGCATCATAAATACCTGATTCATCTGTAAACTTTGTAAGGGCCATACAGAGAGCAAAGTCCTGTAGGACTGAGCTCAGGGCAGTCATAGTTGCTATGTCCCCCCGTTCCCACTCAGGGAAGCGGAGGCAACAGCCAGCACAGACATTCCAACCTCATTGGCGGGGGCAACAATGACTCGATAGTACCTAGAAAAAGGTGCTAGACGATGCCCAACTGGCCAAGGCGCAGATGTCATTGAGGGGAACTCCTCGGAGCAGTGCCAACGATGTAGCTACTCCTCTAGTAGAATGCCCCACTACAGCAGACGGCAGAGGCCAGCTGGCCAGCCGATATGCTGTAGTCATAGTGTCCACAATCCAATGTGAGAGTCTTTGTATCGATAGGCTCTGGTCCAGAACTCTCTCACCATAGCCAATCAGACTGTCGTATTGCCTGTGTCTGTGTAATATAAGTGTCCAAAGCCCTGATCCGGGCAGAGCACACTTCGGGAAAAAACACCCAGCTTACCCGCAGCCACGGGAGCAGCATATGCAAACAAATGTAAGTGCTGGTTCACATGTCTGTCAAACAGGACCTTCGGCAAGAATGAGGGGTTAAGACTGAGGGTGACACTCCTCTTGTCTGGACCCATTCTGAAAAACATTCAGTGCTCACTGAAAAGGCATGAAATTCACTCACCCTCTTAGTGGAGGTAATAGCCAACAGCAATGCCACCTTCATGGATAGGTGCTTCAAAGTCATCGACTTTCAAGGGCGGCTTAGCAAGCGCTGACAGCACCACGTCAACGTTACAGTTTGGCACCGAGCGGGTCATTGCTGGACACAGACATCGAACTCCCTTCATACGTTTGGAGAGCAATGGGTAGCCAGCCATGGGTCCCTCTTGGCCTTCGTCATGGCATGCCGGGATAGCGGCTAAATACACTCTCAATGTGGATGCCGCTCGGCCCGTATCAAGCAGTGACTGTGAAAACCGTAAAACCGTTTGCACATATGGCTCTCAAACCAGGTATAGAATATGATATGATGCATTGGTGGAAGAAACCATGGCCACCTGTGCTCTCCCGAACCTGTCCCAAAGCTGTAGCACCACCTGAAGGTGTAGACTCTAGTCCCCCCACCCCGGCGGACCGTCTCTCGAGAGCATGTCCACTGCATTGTCAGACCCTGGGGATATGTGCTGTTCACAGCAATACCAAGCAGGTCTGGGCCCACGGCAAGAGCTCCCGAGCCATTGGATCAGGAAATGCTGTCCAACCAGGTAGGGCTGGAACTGTTGAAGAGCTAGGCGAACCACCCTGAGCTCCAGCTCATAGATGTGTTGACCACTCCATGGGGGGATCCAGCGGCCAACTGGAGTGGCCTGATGGAGAATGCCCGTCAGTAGGCCGAGTAACTGTTGGCACTAACACCGACATGGCTCGTCCGAGCTGGAAACAGTTGAGGTAGGACAGGATTTTGTTACTCTCACCTGAGGGAGACGTGCCCTCATGAGAGTGGAGTCTATGGACATCCCAAGGTAGATCACCATTCAAGTTATGGGCCTTGTTTAGGGTGAGGCCCATAACTCGAATGTGGTTCAAGAGGGTCCTTAGTCCGTTGAGGCCTGTTCCCTGGATGGGGCAGACTATCCAATCGTCCAGGTAAGGCAGTTACTCATCCAGTAGAATGTGCCACCACAGCAAAAGGCAAAGGCCGGCGGGCCAGCCGAAATGCTGCAGTAACAGTGTCCACCATGCAGTGTGATTGTCCGGTCGGATAGGCCCTGGCCCAAAACTCTCTCACCATAGTTAACAAAAACTGATAAAGCTTACGTATTTCCTGCATCTGTGAAAAGTGTCCATTGCCCTAGCCGGGCGCAACAGCGAGAGGGGTGTGTGTGGACAACTGTAATGGCCGGTTAACGTGTCTGTCAGACAGAACCCTTGGCCAGAATGAGGGGTTTGGATGTAGGTTGACACTCTTTCATCTGAACTAATTCGGAAAAATTCAGTCAACCAGGGCGTCAACACTAGAAGACCCTGAGACATTTGAGGCACCAGAACTATAGGGGTGGCCAGCATCGGAGTTGGAGTTCGTAGACTCCACGTGCCTCTCTCAGTTTGGCCTTTGGGCCTGTGACAAGCTGCCAATGCCAGCGGCAAGCACCTCAGGGTGACTGCAGAGTGCCACCCTTCTTAGACGCAGTCCGCTGCCTGTGGGCAGGGACACCTCGCATTTCTCAAGGCAAAAAGCCATACTGGAAATGGTAGTTTCTCTCTGTGGGAAGAAGAGATGGATAGTGTATACCCTGCAGTATAACAAAATAATAAGACCAGCAGTGCAATCTAGCTGTTTTGTGAGTTTCTAAGGGAAACTAGGATAGTTACTATCTGTACTGTAAACAAATGTAACAAAACTATTATAAACCCAGCTATATACTGAAACCCTCAGTGTAATAGATCTGAGATGTAAGTTTCCAGGGGAAACTAGGATAGTTACTGTCTTAACTGTAAGTACAACAGAACTAGTAACCCCAGCTACACACTGTGCAAGACTGTAGAGTAATAGCTGAAAAGTGAGTTTCCAAGGGAAACTAAGAGTCACTGGAAACTATCATAGTTACTGTATGTAGCCTACTGTAAGTAGCGCAACAGAAAAACTATAGTAAACCCAGCTACACACAGTGTGAAAAAATAGGAGTGTAATAGAGCTGTCAGTTTCCAATTAAGGGATAGTTACTGTCTGTACTGTAAAGTAATGCAACAGAACTATAGTAAACACAACTACCCATTGAAACATTCAGTGTAATAGAGCTGAGATGTGAGTTTCCATGGGAAATAGTTACTGTCTGTACTGTAAAACAGTGTAATAAAAACTATTGCAACCCAGCAACTGTGTGAAAAAAAAACACCAGTGTCCTGTAATCTCACTATGGTTGGGCTAACATAAACTCAATACCTGAAAATGAAGCTAACAGTGTAATATTACTGTGTCTACAGTATACAATGCACAACACTGTACGATAGTATAGAATGGGACCTACAGTATCAGCCTTAGTCTCATACACTATCTGAAGGAGAGGAGACGTGAATGGCTGTACCTTTCCTTGTGGAAAAATAATTAAGCCAACAGTGTAATATACTATGTCTATAGTAAACACTGCGCAATACTGTATAATAGTAAAGGTTACTATGGACCCAGTATCAGCCTTTGTCTCATAGACTATCTGAATGAAGGAGAGGAGAAATGAATGGCTGTAGCTTTTCCTTGTGGAAAAATAATTAAGCCAACAGTGTAAACTGCCTGACCGTGAAGGGGCAGGGCATTCTACCTCACACATGTTTATAGCTTATTTCTTGCTTTATACGTGTGGGTCGGCTGTACTCACGCCACGTTTATAGCTTATCTCTTGCTATATACGTGGTGGTGCTGGTTGGCAAGACTTAAGGGAAAGTGTGTTTATAACCGTGCTTAGTCCTGCAATGGTCACCACTCGTTAAGCTAGCTACTTTGCATAGCTCGTTTACCCGTGGAACACACAAGAGTCTAGGCAAGATGGCTGTGTCCTGTGAGAGATGACACGTGGTGTGCCTCGCGACACCTAGCTCACTCTCAGGGGAGAACTACAAGCCCGCTGGAGCGAAACATACACAGTCTCCTGATCTTGCGGGGTAGACGCGGTCCCCGAACCCGAAGGCTATAACCTGGAGGGCTCCGGTGGACAGACAAGTCGCATAGACAACTAAGACAAACCCTCAGCACCGCAATACTGGTAGACCAAACTGAGTATCGCCCAGGTTGGTACACCATCACAAGTAATAAAAACAAGGACGAAACCCAAACAAGATGGCACAAGACAAACTGAGTGGGGGGACAGCAGAGCACCCTGATGGAGAGGCTAGCTAGCTGCTCCAAGCTACTGAATAGCTGCGGGTATACTTCTGCGCTTATACACTCTAACATAGAGGTCTTACCAAGCACATCCTCTCTGGAATGAGCTGAGAAAAGGAAGAGGTGGAAGTATTGCATCGGCAGCTATTTAAGGGGGTCAGCCGCAGCACTACCCGGTACACGGGACTAATCTGAAATTCTTACTCGGAATGTATCCTGCCGCGCGGAAGGATACCATATTGGAGTGATCCAATATAGTGCTACATAACGATGAGCTCTGAGTGATAGCGCAGTAATGCACACTTGAGGTATAGGCTTTACCGGCATTTAAAACGCACTTCCGATCACAAGTAAATCCATTTACGAGTATCAAGTGTGATAAAACAGATACGATTACGAATATGAGTATGATGAAATCGGCACACCCCTAATGTACAGTAGCCATATCAACATGAACAAATCGGTGCTTTTAGATAAATTATTTTAAAGGTTACAAAATGACAATTTTGATTTAAAAATAATAATAATCAAGAAATAATTAAATAGTTTGACAAACCTGTTTGTGAGCTTTCAAATGATATAAAACTCAACCGTTTATATTTTCAGTGATGAAGACAGATGTCTCATCATGGTAGGGTGGGGTATGAAAATGCCCCAACTTTGAGCACCTTTATTTCTTGAATGTTTTGGCATTCAGGTCCAAAAAGTCCCTATGTGACCACCTCTACCATGGGCAAACATGTATGGAAGGTTTCATTCAAACAAAAGGGGTGCAGTCAGAAAGTGATTGAAATCATATGGAACGACCCTAGTGTGAATGCAGAAAGAGTCAGGCACCCAGGATAGACAGAACACTATAAATCCAGAAAATGAATACAGCCCTTCAGCTAATGTAAATCCTCTCAGATCCAGAAGAATTAGAATTTGGCAGATGCAAAGTTATGATTGCAATTAAGCAGTAAAGTGGGAAAAAAAAGGCTGTTCTGAGCCAAAAGCCTTAAATTCCAAGAAGTTTTCTTAGGCAATCAGATTAATCAACAACACAAGGGTTTTACTGGCCATACGTTTTATAAGTTCAGCTTGTTTTGCCAACAATACATTCCATGGAGTCATTCATTGCGAAGGAAAACTCAAAATGTATCTTGGGGATATGTCCAGTCAGGTCCCTAATTATTGGCACCCTTGATAAAGACAAAAAAAGATAGGGGACAAAATTATTGGCAACCCTGTTTTCAATACTCTAGCACCCTCCCCTTGCGAGGATAACCATAGCACCGGTTCCAATCAAAGTGCCAATGTCGTTTATCAAACTCCAGGCAGTGCTATGGTCAGATGACATGAAAGTAGAGCTCTTTGGCCACGCACACCAGTGGTGGGTTTGGTGTCGAAAAACGGAAGCATATGCAGAAAAGTACCTCATACCTACAGTAAAATATGGTGGTGCATCTTTGATGTTATGGGGCTATTTTGCTTCCACTGGTCTTGTGGCCCTTGTTAAGGTCAATGGCATCATGAACTTTACCAAGTACCAGGACAGTATAGATAAAAACCTAGTTGCCTCTGCCAGGAGGCTGACACTTGGCCGCAAGTGGATCTTCCAGCAAGACAATAACCCCAAGCACACATCAAAATCCACAAAGAAATTATTAATTTACCACAAAATCAACATTTTGCAATGGCTCATTTTCTCATCGATTAAACATTTGATCTCAATACAGTAATCTGCATACAAAAATCTTGGTTTAGTTATACAAATATTTGCTAGCACAACAGGAGATATATGCAAATGATATGGTTTAGCAGTCATTAAATGTAATTTCGAAATGAACCCAAACCTCTCCCTGACCAGTTTAAACTGAAATTGTCCACCATGAACTGTGTTAGCTAGCTTAGTTCGTTGCTAGTTTGGTTAGCTTGTTGCTAGCTAGCTGGCTGTGTTGGTGTTTGCAATGTAATTTTGGCTAGCTAGCAAAATTTTACAGGCTGCATTTCTTCTATATCCTTGCTGTTACAATAGCTAAACGGTTGGATAAACAAATAGTTTGTGAAACCATGATGTAATGCAGCAGAAGACATGGGGTGAGTTTAGAATTCTCAAACAAGAAGCTTCAATTTGATTGGCTCTTGCATGCAATTTTAATCGCATTTGAGTTGCTTCATGTAACAGCAAAGTTGCTTGAGATGATGTCACTTGCAACCATAGGAGGTTGGTGGCACCTTAATTGAGGAGGACGGGCTCGTGGTAATGGCTGCAACTAAAATTGTTTGCAACCCCAGCCGAAAGCTTAACTGGTGTCATGTTTGTTTGACCTGGTGGTCTTAGCTATCCCCATTACAGCAATAGTCTTGTATCCCCTGTAGCTCAGTTGGTAGAGCATGGCGCTTGCAACGCCAGGGTTGTGGGTTCGTTTCCTACGGGGGGCCAGTATGAAAAATGTATGCACTCACTAACTGTAAGTCGCTCTGGATAAGAGCGTCTGCTAAATGACAAAAAAAAAAAAAAAACATCTAGTAAGATGTCTTGCAACATCGACAGAGTGAGAACTGTACACAGAGTCAGATATGTGAACACAAGCCGACAACCCAAGTCAAGTATTTCATAACATGTCTTTCCCTTTTACCTAAAAGCCTATTCTACCACACGTCCCAGTAGAGCAA